ATTTTCTACTGTCAACTTAACTCATTAAAACAGAAACATACAAACAGATTTCACCTCTGTCACGTCACGTTACGATTTTATTTTATGTTAAAATGAAGATAATAATAATAAAGATTATTATGTTAAACTACATTAGGAATGGCCCCAATAGGTCAATATGACTTATGAATCTTACATAATATAATGGCCTATGCGTCTGTCATAGTAGATTTATGGCGTGATGGTCCGTGAACAGATCTTTTCGTGGCTGTATAAACGGTATACATAAATCTTACATCAATGTAATTACATCAGTAAGTAATGAAGGCACCTCATATATATAACATATCATTTTGTAGAAGTAGACAATGTCAGCACCAATTTATGATGATTACGACAAGACTTCTTAACGATCACTTAAAGTTGAGGGCAGTAATGAAGGCGGATAGAATTTTAATTGGGGCGAGACGGGCTTCTGTTTTTTCGCATTAAAACTTTTTAATTATTCTCTCCAGTGGAACGGATGGACTCTCACGAACACTTTATTAATGAAGGATCTTTTTCTTGTTTGTGAATTTTTTATCAGGTTGTATTTTTATTAAGCTATAGCTAACTAGCAAGAATATATCTAGGTATAGTTCAATAAAAATACAATCTGATAATAAACACATAAACAAGAAATATATTCTTCAGCTTCTTCTTCTTCAGTCTTCAGTTATGTTGTAGATATAGCTCATGATAGATGATTACATGTTTTGTAACTCATTATTGTATATATAAGTAAAAAAGGACACTGCAGGCCCTAGCTGGCCTTTACAGCTTCACCGGACGAAAATGTGAGAGAAACCAATGGAGGGCATATTACACGCAGGACTAATATAGGCTAACTTCAGCTAGTTGGTTTCGACACTAGTCTGAGGGCACTGCTAGTGGTTTCCACCTTGGTTCAGAGCGTCGTAATTTCGATCTCCGTTAGCATGGGATAGGGGATCGATCAATGGATTGACATGGACCTGGCGGATATAGTAGTAGATTGCAAACTAATCTTATTTGTCCACGACTGTAAGTAGGAGGGAGAAAGAGATTAGTAGTAATGTGGATGGATTATCCCATTGCTATCAATGTACGATGTCAGGTTGATGTCAATGTATGATGTCATCCACGCGATTCCCCTAGAAACCATCATGGTACATTTCTGGTGAATTTATTGTGCTGACTGACCTAACCTCATACTCTTATCATCCTTCACTGGTGCCCGGCCAGCGTATACCATTAGCGCAGATTGATGCACCATTCTGTTATCATCCAGAATCTTATCACTTACAAATATAATAATAACATACCAAACTCTTTACTGTGCATAGTAAAATATATTTACAAAAAAATATTTTGATATAAATATGCTAACAAAATGCGGCCTTTTCACTCAAAACCATCTCTTAGACATGGGAGATGGAAGCTCAAAGAAAGTAAAGAAAGATAGGTGATGCACTATAGGTATATGTATATTTATATATAACTCTATCAACAAACATATCACCCATGTAGTATCTAATTAGACTAGAGTATTAATCAAGAAAGTTCAGACTACAATGGGTTATATACACGACCCCCTAATGATATATTAGTGGATCCCGGCGTGCCTCAATTCACAGTCTAGTTGCACAATGATCTCCCGTCGCGGTACTAATCATCCACAGATAAAACGTTCTACGCAATGGAATTTGACACTTTTTGTATAGATTTCAATTGGTACAGGATGTTTCAAGATTAATTTATATGATTGTTGGAGATTTGGCATTTATTTTTTAGATTAAACAACAATTTTGTAGTAGATACAATTAAACTAATTATAATTGTTATAGTGGTTGCCTATATGGCCTATTACCTAGTGGTATATGATAAGCTTGGAAAGTACCTACGGTACTTTTTATAATAAGACTTAATTCAGGTAAATAGAGGTTTGGCCATTCAAATTTCATTGGATTCTTCCAATCTATGGTTTTATGATAGAGTATTAAAATACAGCATGTTTATAAAATGTCAAAACAATTTTGAATTCATAATAGGTAATTAAGTATTTATGAAGTGAACAAGGTAGATACGTACTTGCGTGCATTATATTTGCTATTGTCTAGCCCTAAGTTTTTGACCATCGTTTTTTATACATAATAATAGTAGTAGAAAACCTTTTTACTATTTCGGTTCGATGCGAATGCCAAGACATTTTTTATTTATACGTATCATAAATAATAAAAAAACTATATCTATAGAAGTCATAATAAAATTAAGGTTCATATCAAACCTTTTTACAAACATCCTGTATTTAGTGGAAGTTTCACAAGAAAAGCGTGTCTAAATGTGAGAAATCGTGCATGTCATTGGTGGCTCTCGAGATATTTAGCTGCGATTAGCCGTGTAAATAAAAAATGAACTGAAACGTTGGACCTTATCGACGGAACTGTCCGGCACGCTGTGACCGACAGAATTACTACACTGAAGGTAAGTAATTGTCACCCACCACATATACTGTGGACTTGTGTCGAAATTGTCTATTTTTTATTATAAGAATAATAACCTAAACAAGGACGTATATCGATATATATAAAGATAAAAACTGACTAAAAATATATCGATATACAGTGCGAGAAAGCAAAGAAGAAATTAATAAGAATAATAAACCAGGACAATTCACACCGCGCTATTTACACCAAAGTTAGTTGAACGTCTGTTACTAGACAACTCGTAGAAATATGTACTTAATCAACAAACATATCACCCATTTTTTTTTTGGAATTTTATGCACAGGTGATATACCTTCTTAGAAAACACCCAGACGCATTGATCTTGAATACAATACAATACCATATTGCCATTTTAAGATTACGCCAACTAACTACATATTTTTTATGTAACTGTCAAACAAGTTGACAAACCTCTTGATGGTTAACGGTGACCATTTCTTAAATACCTACATGAACAGCATCAGGGACATAACGTCATCATGTGAAGCTCGTGGGTAATAATAATATAATCGATTGCTTAAAACATAAGAGAGATGTTCTCATGCATTGCCATTCCAGTGGTGTTATGTTTGCCCAGTCTACAGACAGGTAATAGGATTGAATAGGTTTGGTCATTGACCATTGGAAATTGGTTATAGTGGATCATTTAATGAAGGCAAAATCAGGCAACTTCAAACTGTCAAGAAAAGCGACGTAATAAAACCTAGTGTTGGTCCAATATTATATATATTACATATACTTAATACAAACTTCGTTGTTTTAGTGGTGATACTATACAAATGCCACTAGTTAATCTGAATTGGGAATATATTTGTGTAGGAGCCTATTAAATAGTTAAATGAGATTTGTGAATGGTTTTGTTGTGCTTAAGTACCTAGTTCTCGAGTTGATGTGCTTAACAGCTACTTATTTAGTTTACAGATACGTACTTACTTGTTACTATAAATAGCATTTAATAAAGTTAATACATGAAGTATATAGTAGGTAGGTACTAATGGGTAAAATTTGTAATTATAATGAGGTATAGAATGTAGAGGTTGTTAACATGAATTAAATTACTAAATTTAGGGAGCTTGAAATAAAATAGAGAAATCGAATTGTTAAAATTATGTATGAGAGATCATATACTGCCTGTGTATAACAGAATCAAATGGTTGATATGTAGAAGAAGGTTGGTATGTAGGTCTTATATACTAGCTGTCATGTTCTTTTGCCATATAAATTTAGGTACCTACTAATATAACTTTAAAAAAATAGGGGTTGGTGGTAGAAGGATGATAATTTTGTATGTATTTTTAATGCCACATTATAAAAAAATAAAATTTTGTCCTAAAAATAAAAAAAAATATTAGGGATGGACAACCACTTAGGGGTATGAAAAATAGATAGTAGTCGATTCTCAGACCTACTGAATACCTATTAAGCATATAAAATTTCATAAAAATGGGTCAAGTTTCGGAGGAGTATCTATGTTAACTAACATTGTGACAAGAGAATTTTAAATAGGTACCTATAAGATGCAAAACCGCAGTAGACGAGCTAGTCAATTTAATAATACTCAGGTATATTTAGGTAAATTTCTATTACCTACCTAATATAGGTATAGGTATTTAAATATTAGGAATTAGTTTATTTACCTATTTTTTAAGATATAGATGGATATAGGTAGAGGCAAGTACCTAGTTATACTTATACTCGTTAGATCATTAAGTTACACTTAAAACTGACATATTACGTACCTTCAAATATGTAGGTAACCTAGTGCACATATTGGGTATCTAAGTATTTTAAATAAATTCAATTGAAAGATATCAGTTATTAAGTAGTTGGTATCGAAAAAAAAGTTTCATAGATCTGTAAAGAGTAAGAAATTAATAGTTTCTTAGTTAGGTAGATATTAGACAGATATTATTAAATTAGTGGTATATTCAATTCGGTACTAACAGAATGTAAACGTATTTCCCACATCGTAAAATAAATATTATGATATACTCAGAAGGTAAAATTTTAATACGGAATCCCGAACCAAAACGGCAAGCAACACAAACACGTTAATGGCCTGAATCGCTCGCGGCCGCGGCCTGAAACCCATTAAGTTCAAAACTCAATAAATATCATTGTTCCGACGCTTAACTAGGAAAATAACCCAGCGCGGCCGCCGGGGGCCGCTTTAGCCCGATCTTCAGCTAGCCGCGATCTCTAATATTCATAAGTCAATTTCCTGCCCCATTAATACGTAACGAAGTAGCGCAAATGGCGTTATCGCTTGTGCGCGATTACTTGCCCGCCACTCTCTTACATAATTCAACGTATTAAACGAAATTGTTTAAACCTTATTGCTCGATTACGTTTCTCCACCCAAGGCACGCCTCGTTTCCCGCCGCCAATCGGCTGACGAGATTCCACTTTCGGTCCCCACTTGGGGGCGTCCCCTCCCATTCTAACCCGCCTGTTTCTCTGAACCCGTTCCAGTTGATATCGGGTTGTTATGCTCGACTGTTGGGTGCAGGCAGACGTGACACCTCGGATTACAGTGCATACTGTCGAACGACTGAAAACGCGGACTGATTACCTGTGTTCATGTATGATTTACGACAATTAACATTTAATAATTTTTAGACCGCAATATTAAATAATAAGAAAAAAGTACACAAGCAAACACCGGTGCAGTGACAGTGATATTTACAAAAACATTTAAACTAAATTAAGTACATTTCAAACTTTTATAATGACAGTGATATAATGCTGAACTCTTTGAGTATGTCATTAAGTAAGAACCATTGACGTCTTTAACGTAATTCTCATAAAATAGGCCTTGATATGACGATGCTTGCAATGGCGCGAGGTTCTGAGGAGCGTCGTGACGATGCCGAAACCGAAACAGAGGCCGAAGCAGAGGCCAACGGTGAAGTGGATGTAGTGGGGGTCGAAGAGGCCGCTCCTGTAGATTTAACGAGAAGATTAGGATTAACGAGACCCCCCGAACGGTCAGCAATAGCCTTTTCTGTAGAGAATATATTAGATCCAAATAAGTTCACTGGCAGATCTGAAGTGCCTCTGCGTTACGATGAGCAGTACTGGAGGCCGCATTATGATAGGGATGACAGTGATTCCGGTGAGTATTTCCGTATACTAGTACTAAAAAAAATATTACCTATGTACCTTAGCACTGGTAATAAGCAATAACCTTATAAATGTAGAGACGGAGACGTAGTTGCCGGAACTATTTAGGTGTTTGTTATATATTAATTTAATAATATATTTATATTACATTTTATAGCTTATTATTTGTCTCCTATAATAGTAATTATCAAAGATATTGTTAAACCTTTCATATCATGAAATAATTCATGATTAAGTAACTTAGGTTAAAATGTAGAGCCATGGTGAATAATTACTTTAATAATTATTCTTATTCATTTATCTATTATAGATTCTAAAAATAAAAGGTAGGTATATTACCCGTTGTTGTTTGTTTAAATTTACATTTTCAAGTAAAACTATTAAAATAAAGTAATACTGTAGTTATGATATTTATAGATTTTATGTTATATCATTGGTACTATTTTATAATAATTTATGGATATAACTTTTTATTGCTTACTAAAAATATTAGGTGCCTACCTAAGTATAAGAATAGCATTTAGTACGTGTCTAGCTTTAGGTTGTAATAATAAATTACAGCAATATATGATAATTAATCAATAAATAATAATAATCTACCGAAATTACGGGCTGCCCAGTTATAAATAAATTAGTAATTTTTCTTCTAGTTATATTAATTTATTATCTATTTTAATATAAATAGATATGATTAAAATATAGGTTTTGTTGTAGTACCTATATAACAAAAATACACCGATGTTCGTTTACTTGAATCTACAGAAATCATAGCTTTTAGTCTTATATCGATATTTAGTTTAATTATATACTTATTATTATGACGGTCCGTCAATTAAATATGTATACTTAGGTATAGATGCTATATCTTACTAATTATAACAAAACTCGAAAGTTTGTGAGTATGAATGGATAGATGTATGAATGTATGTTTGTTACTCATTCACGCAAAATTTACTAAACAGATTTTGATGAATCTTTACAGTAATATAGCTTATACATCAAAATAACATATAGGCTATAAATTTCATGCGAGTAAAACCGCGGGCACAGATAGTTGTAATATTTATGATAATCTTGCCAAATTTCGTAGCATCGTATGGCCGTAGTACTACGTAGATAAATAAACGTTTTTTATAACACTGTAATTTATTATACGGGTGATTAAGGTATCCTGGTATACAATTTGTATTAGGTATTAATATTCTTTATACATGAACATACAGAATCCCTAACAGGTTTTGCAACTTATAAACAATAAAATATCACATTTCTTAAGTAGGTAATACAAAGTTTTATTGCTGTTTATATATAAACAATTTTTTTAATAGTAAAGGAATAAAAAATTTACTTAGGTTTATTTGGCAAGGAGTAATATTTGTATCCCAGGTTATCTTGAAGGGATTAATTACAACGATTAGACCGCTATTTGTAATTTACTTAATGTATTCAAATTATTAGCAAACTGTTTAATAATTATTTGTAATCTGTGCACAATACAGACTGACTATTATTATTTATTATTAATATTGTGGCAGAAGCAGTGAAACGTAGGTATAGAAATTATTATTTATTTTATACGACTACATAATATATTATTAAGCTACTGAACTATTGATACAAATAAAGCAAGTATCCAAACCTGATTTTGAAATATTAATATATAGCATATTCAATTTTATTCTACCCAATACCTAATAATTTAATCTAAATATAAAATATAGCATAAATATATAATTTACCATGTATTTATTGTACCAATGGATACCTATTTTTCAATCTATTACCTATTATATGGATATATTTAGATTTGCTAAGCCAACCGTTATATTTAGCGGTTTAGCAAGAAGTGACAATGTCCCAGAAAACTAGCACTGGAGCGCTGTTATCACGATTTTGAACTGTAGATTACTTATTGAAATACCTTTTTATCTAACTATTATATAAAAAGTATTCACAATTTCTATAGATCACTTTATGGCAGACAATGAACTTAAAAATTGTTCCGGTTAAAAAAGCATACCGTTATTATGATTTATAATCGGAACAATTTTTCAGCTGAAAATCTGAAAATTACAAGATTTTTAAACGCTTTTAGATTAAGAGTAGTACATTTATATAAAAGTAGTCTATAGAAATTTCTTACGTATGAAATTGTTTCTTTTATACCTATTTTATGTTACAGGTTCATTCTAAACAAAATTCAGTATTGGTAATTTAGATCTATAGGTACGTTTTATAAATATATAAGTATAGAAAAGTGGCAATAGGTAAGTGTCAAATTTATAAAAACAATATCTTTTTAAATATCAATTGAGCATCAGATTTTGTGAAAATCTACACATGAATGTTAAAGATCTTTATTAGAAAAACATACATCAATATAGGTACATCTATATATAAAAGTTATTGTGGGGTAGAGAGAGCCTATAAACATGTTTACTCGTAAAAGGTATTTATTACATTTCGAAATCAATGATTGTAATTAGGTAGATACTTATATGTACTCATGAAATTTAACAACTGTCCCATGAAAAAAATGGATGTTCAATTATTTTTTAAATCTAAGTACAAACTGAACTGCTTAATTTGTACATAGCTGTGAAAAATACAAGATTTGTATTATTATTTCCACTCTTTGCTCTGTAAAAGTGGTTCAGATTCATATATAGTTGGCTCTTAACCATTATAAGTAACCCGGTATGTAAGCTATTATTAGAATTCAGAAAGGTAGATAGCATCTCGATGCTTGCGGTGTGGTGTGGTATTGTATTTTATTAACACATTTAACGTAAGATAAAAACGCACTGCATCTTAACAAGTCTATAACTATACCTATATTTTTTCGGCTCGTCTTTCAGTAAACTAATTTGAAAGTAACGGAAAACGTCAAAAGCCGGACTTGACATGTCAATTGGCTTTCGATATCAATAAACGAACCTTTTAAAATAGTTTCAAGTACCGACAGCAATAAAAAAACTAACCAATCGTTTACTTTTCATCACGTATCTAATAGAGTCTTCGCGTCGTTGTCAAACGAAGCAATAGCAGCATGGTGCACTCTATCTATTTTGAATTATTCTTAATATCAATGCAGCAGAGTTCAATATTACATATCACTTTATTTAAGGGACGGCAAAAATAATATTGTTTGTCTATAAATGTATCACGTACGCAATCAACTTTGAATAACTCAATAATGTCTATTGGTTATTAGCTACCGGTTTATACAAAAAAGAATCTAATATTTAATGTATAGGTAAGTATATTGATAAATTAATCCAAGTAGTAAAATACTTTATGTTTTGATTAATTATTTTTAATTGGATTTAATGTTATAGATATTAGTTGCGTAGGTATATATATATATCTAATTCTATAGGTACGTGTTGACTTGAACATACTTTATTTTTAAAATACCTACCATTATCTTCTTCTTCTTCAGCATGGAGTATGGACTAACCTACAGTTGAGCATATGCCTATTGGACTATCTTGTTCATGGTCTGCCTAGAGTTTTTCTAATTTGTATACACTTTTCCGTAGCGCATCACAGATGTTTTTAACGTCTTTTGATGTAAAGTCATAATGCGGAAACAAACTACATCACTGATGTGAATGCCGGGGATTGCAAACAGCCTCCTAAACATTATAGTAATTATGTCGGAATGTCCACTCCAGGCACTCGACATCATTTCACTACTGCGGATTCAACGCATCTGGACGTGGAAATAGATATATGAATTGAAATAACAAAGATATATAGGTATTGTAATTTACTAACATAGTAAATATTATAACGTTTATGAGTTGTTTACTAACATAACTCACAACTCATCGTGTCTCCACTCCAGGACGCACCTGCTCCATCTACCATAGCATCAGCGGCATGTCCGATCCATGACCATTTTAGCTTGGCTATCCGATGCGTTACAGTAACTACTCGAGTTTGGCTCCTGATTTTTAATGTTTTGGGATTCTATCTCGTAGGTCACACCTAGCGTACTACGCTCCATACTTCGCTAAACGACCCGGATTTTTTTCCTACTGTGAGAGTCTATGTCTCACAAGCCTACGTACGTCAAAGCCGGGAGGACATATTGATTAACCTATCATTATAATTTGAGCTAAACTAAATCTGATATCCAGTTGTCGAATGCATTTGCATACCTAGTACTTGTGATAGCTATGTCATTATAGTTCTTCGATACAATGAAAGGTATTTTGAAGTTCAAAGATAACACATAGTTAGGCACATATATAAATTGATTGATTGCTAGATGGAAATTTTATTTATCGCAGATATATGGCCTCTACCTAATATTGATTTAATAATTTTCCATCAAGTATGAAGCCAGGATAAAAACTATAAATATTTTTTTCTTTAAATAGAAAACTGATACAAATAAAATAATAATACTCATAAATACAAAGGTCTATGTTGTGCAAGTAATAGACTCCGCAACTATTAGAATTAAGGTGGTGTGCCAAACCCCTAGATCATCCATGGCAACAAATAATTATTTAGGTGTATCAAGTAATATATATTTAGTTGACAAGATAAATTATAATAATTATATTATGTTCGTGTGTCATATATATATATATACAATAAATATAATTTAGATACCAAATTCTTGCAATCTCATTTTTTATACATTCAAAGCTCCTGTCTCGGTCAATAGAGTGAACGATGACTGATAAATAGCTTCCGCGCGTGTCCCTACAAAATGTTCACTGTAGGTACCATCGACTGTACAATCGCACACATTAAAATGTCAACAGTCGTTCATATACATATATATAGGACTAGATAAATTCTATACAGATTTACTTCATATTGATTCGAGAAACACAATAAGTAATTTAGTCGTAATTGGTATAATTAAAGTATTTAATTTTAATTATTAGGTACGCTACATATTCGTATGAAAATATCTAATAGCCCTATTTATTTCATCGAACATTTTTTTTATATTCAAATGATTAAAATAAG